TCTGTGAGTTCGAGGCCAGCCTGGGCTACCAAGTGAGTTCCAGGAAAGGTGCAAAGCTACACAGAGAAACCCTGTCTCGAAAAACCAAAAAAACAAAAACAAAAACAAACAAATGAACAAACAAACAACAACAACAACAAAACCCAGCTAGACTCCAGTACTTGTTTTGTTTTAGGGATAGGGAAATCTAAGCACATGGCTCTCATTGTCTGCAGAGGGCATTCTGCAGTGTCTGCTTGTCCCTGCTCAGCACAGAGTTCTGCCCGTCCTCTCCTCTGAGTGACCTGGAGCAGTGTGACTATGATCAGAGTATGGAAGAAGCAGAGGAGGGCAATGCCAGCAATGAGAGCAAAGCTTCTATTGAACATCAGGCTGTTCACCGATTATGTTCACTCTCCAGGACCCAGGCTGACGTCGCCTCGGCAACACCCGCACTTCCACATGCACACACAGAAAGTCATCTAAGACACCTGCTGCGGAGGCCTGGGGGGTATTTCTGTCCAGAGCAAATGCTGACTACTGAAGCATAAAGTGGGGCTTGTAACTGGCTCAAGTGAGTGGGCATTTTTCCCATAGTTTACCAGTTAGAGGGGCACACAGCCCTGGGTGTGCCCAGCTACCTGCTAAACTCTCAAGACAAGACTGGCCTCGCCTTAACTCCATAAGCGTGGAACAGTGAGTGCTTCTATTTTTCAAGCAATAAACCCAAGAGCAGGGATGAAAATGAAGGCAGATGGGGTGGGGTGGGCAGAAAGGTGTGGGTGGGATGTTGTCCCCTTTTTATTCGCTGCTCTTGGTATAAGAACATGACTCATCAATTGGTTCCCTGGACAGGATTTAGAGCTCTGTGGGCAGCTGATAAGAGTGCAGCTTACGTGTAAAAAGTAAATACATTGAATATTCCCCATAAAGTCAATAGTGCCAGGCTTATCAGCTGCCCTCACTCCCTACTCAGTCCCCAGGGGACCAGATTTGAAATAAAGGCCACAGTTCCAGGGGCAAAGAGTGGAGGTGCCCGGCTGAGCTGAGAGGGGCCTCTGTGCCCCCTGGGTTGTGTTTTAGGCAGGTGGGTGAAAGCTGCCAAGCACAAGCTGCTCAGAGGCCCCGGTTTTCCAGACTGACAAATCCCAAACCAAACATACACACCAGGCCATGAAAGCAGCACCTCCTTATCCTCCAATCCAGCCAAGGTTTCCAGGAAGCTTCTTAGGAAAATGAGAGGATGTCACTTTAAATCCGATCTGCAAAGACCCACAAAGAAAACAGATCAACAAAGAAACCTTGCTTTCCCACCAGGGTTCTCACCTCTGCCTTTCATAACAGGTATTAATGCCTACTTCTGCCCTCCTCCAGAGTGTAGCCGTCTTTTTAACCAGTGAAGATTTGACAGCTTTGCAAATGGCCTGAAATAAACGTTACCAGCTGCTGTTTCAGACCCATTTTGAAGACTCACACTAATGGAAGAAGCAGTCTGCCTTGAGCCTGGCTCAGTTTTCACTCGCTGACTCCATGCTTTTGCACGGATTCAAGCCTGGCCCAGTGCCATTCACTTGTGATAAGTGTTTGAGCTCATGCTGGTTGGGGCAGCAGACTCCCCGGCTGGGGCGAAATGGGCATGAATGAAAGCAAGATGGATTTATTCCACCTGATTTCCTAGGGCTCACATAGAGTAGCAGAAGTGAGGTAGATGGTTAGTCTCAACTACCCACCCCCGATACTAGAGGAATTTGTTACCCTAATGAGTGTGGGATTTTAGGGGGTGATAATGAGGGCTGAGACCCAGAATTTGTACTGGGCATCTCTTTATAAGTCCTTCCCTGCCCGCTCTCCAACTGAAAGCAGCAGGTCCCCAGCCTCCTCTTCACATTGCTACACTGTGATGCATGGGCCCAAAATGGACTGCAGGGCTTCCTTGTTACTCTACTCTTACCTTTCAAAACTGTCCTTTTCAAAACCCCCAATCCTGCTAACAGCTTTCTTGCCCCCATTCAGCTAACTTCTAAATTAGTTTTCGAAGGCCTATGCTAATTCCCAGAAACCCTCTGGACAAAAACCTGCTGCCTCCATGCTTTTGAGCAAAACCACCATTCAAGCCACCCCGCTCAGTCTAGCCATGCAAGTGTCATTTTGACCTTGGAGCCCCTGTTTGTGGCTAGAACTGGTGAGATATTCCTAGGACTGACCTTATCTAAGCCATCAACGCTCACCTGGCTAAGCACCACTTGGGATTCTAGTCTAAGATCTCAGCGACAGATGCTTGTGAACTGCCAGGTGGGTGCTGGAAATGGAACCTGCCTCCTCTGCAAGCGCAACAAGTGTTCTTAACTGCTGAGCATCTCTGCAGCCCCCCCCCCCTCCCCCGTGGTTCTCGTTTTGAATGCATGCTGTACATGTTGTTTTTCTGAGACATATTTTAAACTCAGTAGTATGAGCACCCTTCAGGATAAAATTTAAAGAAATAATCTTGTCTCAGTTCTTAGAAGGCAGGTTTTCAGGTTACTGTTTTTGTTTTTAATTATGTGTGTGTGTGTGTGTGTTGGTGGTGGGGGTGCACCACTAGTCCAGCAGCAACATGTAGAAACCAGAAGCTGACAGTGGGTGTCTTCCTCTCCTGCTCTCTCTCTCTCTCTCTCTTATTTTTTTTTTGACTTTTTTTTTTATTTTACAATACTATTCAATTCTACATAATAACCACAGATTCCCTTGTTCTCTCCCTTCCTGCCCCCTCCCCTTCCCCCCAGCCAACCCCCCCTCCCCACCTCCTCCAGATCAAGGTCTCCCCCGAGGACTGGGATCGACCTGATAGACTCAGTCCAGGCAGGTCCAGTCCCC